AGGCTTGGACAACAATGTTGGAAAAACTTAACTTGATTAAAAATGTCCTGGACAACTTGAATACTGTAATATAGTAAGATCATTTTCAACTTGTCCAAGACGTTTTCAACCAATTACTTTTTTTTCAGCTTTACATCCCAGGTATGTGGGGAAAGGTGTTTCAGGTATGACATACTGTGTGTATGTATTATATACATTCTATTGGGACACTGTTAACCATGATGTCTTTGTAATGGTATTTACAATTCTTAAGTAAATGGATTGTGTGCTTTAATTCTGTCAGACTTCTACATAAACGTCCTCTTGTAATAAAAAGGCCACGGAGCTGAAGTTTTCCCAATGACCTGTGGAACAAGTATTCTCAAGAGTATTGATCACTAACAAGTCAGATAGTTGTGACAGGATCCCCGAGGTACAACCTGGAACCATGGGACCACTGTGTCGCCTTAACTTTCTAGCCTGGGTTGTCTCTCACAAAGCTATGTCAGTGACAAGCAGTAACACCCCTCCAGGCACTGTGATCTCTCAACCATCAGCATCTGGAGTCCCACACCCTGCTATATTATGCTCCCTGAGCCACTCATGAATCATACAGAGAGAGGCAACAGTCAATGGCCCCAGCCTTGAACCCCAGAAATATCCTATCTTACATTGCTCAAGATTCCCTTGGACAGTGAAAGCTAATTAATAAGTTCGCCACTCCGACAAAAGGGTAGTGGATGTGCAATGGCCTTTGTTAAGCTGAGCTGAGATTCCCCAAGCACTTACACCAAAAACACACAGTCTTAGATAAAATATAAAACAGATTTATTAACTACAGAAAGATAGATTTCAAGTGACTACGTAGCAGGCATAGAGAGCAAAGTTGGTTATCTAAGAAATACAAATAAAAATACAGTCTAAATTCTTACTTTAACAAACTAAGTGAGATTTGAATCAAGCAGTTTCTCACCCTAACAGATGTTGCAGGCAGGTTACAGTTCATCAGTGCACAGACTGGACTTCCTTCCAGCCTGGGACCAATCTCCCTAGTTCAAAGTCGTCCATATGTTGGAGTTGGGGGGGTGGTGGAGGAAGAGGCCAAGGGATGATGTCACTGTCTCTCTTTTTGTACCTTCTTCCAGCTGCTAGAAAGATCCTTGCTGATGGTCAGGCAGTCTGCATTGCATATGTGCCTTCTCTGAGAAGCCTCTGGGATATTGGATTGTTCTTGATGAGCTGTTAACGCCAGTCTGGCCAATAATTGTTGCTCCTTTGTCCATACTGAAAGGCATCTCCCAACCTCACAATATATTTCAGTAGCACATATAGCAATACTTCATGTAAAATGATAGTACATACAATCCAAACAGGATATCAGTGTTCAACAGATCAAGACTTTTAAAATGATGCTTCACAAGGCATGCATTGTACAAAATTTGTCATAATTGTATCGCAGGGGTGAATATGAGGGCTCCAGGGTGCTATTTGAGGTACAGAGTGTCACAGTGGTCTTATGGTGATTTTGTAAATACCCCTCTACCCTGATATAATGCGACCCGATATAACATGAATTCGGATATAACACGGTAAAGCAGCGCTCCGGGGGGGTGGGGCTGCGCGCTCCGGCGGATCAAAGCAAGTTCGATATAACGTGGTTTCACCTATAACGCGGTAAGATTTTTTTGGCTCCTGAGGACAGCGTTATATCGGGGTAGAGGTGTACATTAATATTTGGTAAACTGAACTTGAAATATATAAACTCATTTCGTTTTAAAGTAGCTGACCGTATTTAAGTAAACTTTGTCAACTTGTTGCTTTTGGGATTACTTTGTAAAGTGCTTTTATCCTCCTCCTTATTTTTGAGGAAAGTTCCTTTCCTATCTTTGAGTATAAATGCAGCACACTGTTCGAGAGTTTTTTAACACATAGTTGTTTGTTCACAGATCTTGCTCTGAGATGTTTGGTTGAAAGTTACGCAACCCAATATGATGAAAGAAATGAAGAACCTTCACCTAAACGTTTCAAGAGTGATAAAACAGACATAGCTTTTAACAATTCTGCTGATGAAAGGAGTGGAAAGAATGTTTCAGAAAACTGGAAGCCTGTGGCTGGAATTGTTATTGCACTGTGTTGCCACCACAGGTGTCAGTGGAAGCATTATGTAGGCCGAGAGTTCTTTAGAACAGTGGGACTTGGGCCAGTGGAATTTAATTATTTTCAGAGAATGACTAGCTGGGCCACTTGTGGCATGCGAGAAACTATCATTGAAGCCTCTACCGTTGATGCAAAGAGCAAAGACCAAAACAGTGATACAGAAGAACATGACCAAGTACACAACAGAATTGAGTGCAGTTCTGATAGTCTGCAAGGGTAGGTCATTTTTTTTGTAGCATGTAGACATCTCAGGAAGGTAGAAATAATGGATTAGACAGTCATTTGTAGCTGAATGATTAAGCATTTTTGAATGTCAGAATGGCTCATTTTATAGAAACATATCCATCTGAAGTACTTAAAATGAAAAACATGCAAATTTAAGTGACATAATAGTCTTCAAAATCTTATTCCAAAACAGTCACACTTTATCTGCATTGAAGTGCATCAGTTACAGTTTTTACAGCTTTTCTGATCTTGAACCATTTGTGTTGACTAATTCATGTTTTTTCTTTTTGGAGCTAGGCTACTTACTGTTGAAGAACGAAAGCAGATAGGTCGTCTTTGTAAACTCTTGATTGACCAGGGACGGATCAAATATTTACAACAGAGAGGGTACAATGCTGCATTACAATACTATATAGATTCTACTGTTTCCTTGGAGAATGTACTCTTGACAGCTGTACCAAGTCAATCTTCAGTACCTCAGCCAACTGCATAATGGGAGACAGATTTGGAATGGGCAGGACACAGAACTCTACAAAACTTCTCTGGATTTTTTTTAAGACCTTATTCACAGATTCAGTACTTTTAGAAAACATTTTGTAGTCTTTCGGTAACTACAAAAGCATTGAACTTAAATTTCTTTTGGAATCACAAGAAGATGCCAGCTGACTCCTAGCAGTGTGAAAGTCATAAGGCATTTTTGTCTCTGCACACTGCGATATTGCTGTTGTTTTCTCTGTTCAGAAGAAGTAGAATTTATATTTTCCTCCAAATACAAAAGTTCAGTTTGGCAGTTTGTTTAATTTTTTATTCATTATCATTAATGGTGGCAGACGCAACAGGTATACAGTTGTCCAGGTTTTCTGAAAATCAATAGGTTAAAATGTAAGAAATGGATATGCTTAATAACCTGTCTCCATTTTGAACTTCATGAGGGTTTTTATCTTGTTTTCTATGCCTAGAATTTTATTTTATGAGTTCTGACTATTTGTGGAATTGGCTAAAGAAAAACATTTAGTTGGAAATCAAATGCCACCTCATTGTTTTAGTAATTACATTCCCATGCATAAAGCTTTGCTATGGAGAGGAATAAAAGCTGAAATTGACATGATCTCTTGAGTTAACCTCATTATTTTAGCGATTTGTTTTAAGCTTTCATAATATGTGGGTGAACTTAATGAGATGAAATATTGATACCTTGTGTCAGTGAAATTCGCCGTTCACATAATAGATATAGCAAAGGGCACTGGCTCATGATGCTCTGCTAATGTAACTCAATCCTGACCTTCATTTACAGCCTCTGTGGGTAATTCATTGTCCAGTCCTTATCTCTCAGCAGACAGTGCTAGTTGATGTGCTTTGTCATATGGCTACTTTTCCATGAGGAAGCGAGGTGAAATAGCTGTATATACTCATTCATAAGACAAATTTTTTTAGTAAAAAAGGGAAGCACCAGAGAAGGGGTAGTCTTATGAATGGGTATAGAGAGGGAGAGGTGGGACACAGCCCCTCCCCCCAACAGAGGGAGCAAGGAGAGGCAGCAGAGCCAGAAGGGAAGAGGCAGGGCCAGAGTCTCTCCGCTTCTGGCCACACTGCTCTCCCCCCAGCCTCCGAAGCAGCTGCAGCTCTGGGGCTGGCAGGCTGCAGCCCTGCCGCTCGGCCCCACCCCCCAGAGCAGGCTGTGGCCGCGCCGCCCGGCCCGCCAGAGCACGCTGTGGCCGTGCCGCCTGGCCCAGCCCACTGGAACATGCTTCGGCCACGCCGCTTGGTCTGGCCCGCCAGAGCAGGCTGCGGCCGCGCTGCCCAGCCTGCCGGAGCAGCTCCAGCCAGGCCAGAAACATCCTCCCCAGATAAGGTGGGAAGGGATGGGATGGGGAGAGTGTGGGGGTACCGGGCTAAGGGTGGGGTCATGTGGGGTGTGGTCACAGGGGTTACTCCCCTGACCCCCAGCTTCTCCCTCTCCCCTCCCCCCCCAAAAAAAATTTCCTCACCAGTTGCTGTCCCGGCCCCTAAGGGTAAGCAGCTGGCGTGCTGGGACACTTTATTTACTTAGGTTTACCTCCGTGCCTGCGGACGCTCGAGGTAAACAAACCATCTTGGCCCGCCAGCAGCTTATCCTCATGGCCCGGGAGCCAAAGTTTGCTGACCCCTGAATTATAGGGTCGGCTTATGAACGGGTCATAAAAAAATTCCATTTTTACTTATCCATCTTGGGCGGGTCGGCTTATAAACGAACGGGCTCATGATTGAGTATATACTGTAATTTATTTCACTTAGGTGACTAGATCTTCCTAGAAACACCTTATATTTCCCCATCACATGTTGGTGCTTTTCCACCTGCTGGCAGGAAATGCTGGGAACTCCAGAAACTCCGTGACAAAAGCATCCGCTTCTCCTGCTACTCCCTCTTCAGTGTAACTTCCAGCTCAAGGAGACATATCTGTGCTAGCTATGATTGAGCTAGTGAGGTAAAAATAGAAATGTCACCAGAGTGGAACACATGTCAGGAAGGCTTGTTAGTTAAGTATGTACCAGGATCATATTCAGAGGTAACTACATTTCTGTTCTTCGCATGTTAGCTCATGTATGTCTCCTCAAGCTGGAATTCGCACCAGTGTAGAGACACCCTAATTCTGCTTGACTGCATTTTAATGTTTTCTAATATTTTTTATTCATACTCTAGTTACAGACAATACAAATCTCATACCTGCTCTGCTGAGTGACTCTTGAATATACATATGCATGAACTGAATACCAAACAATTCCCGTTCCTCTTCCTCTTCAGTATTCTCGCATGGGGGAAGTGTTACTTGCAGCTCCAGTGGGTTGTCTCTGAAGTTGACAAATCTGGTAATTCATCAGAAAACATGACTCTTGGAGGTCCTTCCCCCCCCGACCAAGAACAACTGTTTGAAAACTAAACTAGGCTGCACTGAAGAGTGCTTCAGCAAAAGAAAATGTAATTAAGGGCAATTTCTCAGGGCATTATCTTTCAAATAGTTTCTCTACTTAATGGTAGTGTGGTATGTGTTTATCTTAACTGATTTAGAAATAGTTTTCATCTGAACATTTACATCATTTCTTAAAATGGTTTCTATGCCAAACTTGTAGTTTGTACAGTTTAACAAGGAATCCCTATCATGTTTAATATTTTGTGCACACACTTGAAAATATAGGCCTTAGTACCTGTGGTCAGTACCAAGGCCAATTCAAGCAAATCTAGGATCTCCAGTGAACAAATTCAGGTGTTCTTACTATCCCTATGTTTATTGAAGTACATGTTTGTACTGCACAGTAAGATAACGTTATACATTTTCGTAATATTTTGACATCAGGATACAGAAGCAGATGTTTACTCTGAAACCAGAACAAAATATTTAAATTAGATCTATTGCACATGAGAATTTTTATTTTTGGTAATAAAAACCTGCTGCAGAGTTTATGCATCTCTAGATATAGTAGCATCCCCAAATAACTTGAAAACATAGGAATTGCTATACTACATCAGACCAGATAGGTATGAACTCAACTGGCTATCCCGAGCCCCCGCTCGTGCTACCTGACTGCACTGCTATTTTTACCATAGTAGCTCAAACAGCGCTTGCACAGGTACGTGTATGCAAGCTGGGAATTACACCCTCAGCTTCAAGTGGAGACATAGCCTTCGTCTGGTATCCTGTCTCTAAGAATGAAAGTACTTAAGAGAAAGCAACAAGAACCCTGCCGTAGTGAATAAAAAAAAACAATCTGCCCATAAGGATTTGAAAGAAGTTTTCTCGTCAGTTCCTGGTTAGCTTATATCTTGAAGCATTAAGATTTATAGCTCACATTTTTATCCCCAAACTTAAATGGATATTCTCATTTTTCATATCTTAGTATCTAAACCTTTTTTGAAGGGTTTTAGGTTCTTGACCTCACTGATACCTTGTGGCAGTAATTTCCCAAGTGAAATATACGTTTTATAAAAAGTTCTCCTTTTATCAGTTTTTAATTGTTGCTTTTCAATTTTTGTCCCTTGTTCTTGTGTTATGAGAGAGGCTAAAATAGTGATGCCCAACTGTTCCACTGAAAGCCAGCATCCACAACCCTCACAGATCAAGAAGAATCTAAAGATTCCCTTAACCTTTGGGACTCTACATACTGTATTTACATTTGCAATAAATCCATTTGGTGAAATGAAGGAACTCAATACTGTCATAAAACTTTCTGGGCCAGATTCTCACCTGGCATAAATCTGTAGTTCCACTGATTTCAATGGAGCTATACCAGTTCACACCAGCTGAGAATCTGGCTCCCTATCTATTTGTTATGCAGCAGTTTGCACCGGGAATTTTTAAAGGCAGCCTTCAGGTACTTGCAGTATTGTTGATAGTTTACCTGAGATTTGTCATTTGTTGCATGCAAGCAGGAATATCCCGGAGTTTGTTGTTGCTGAGGACAAGAGTACTCAGATTTTTCATATTACTGATGGTTTCTGGTAAGTGGGTTATTTCATTCCGTTGGAGCCATAAAGTATGTAAGTTCTCCATTCTGTAGAAGTAGAGGTTTCTACAATTAATCCAGCATTAGGGAATCCTTGATGATTAATTTAAAGGAGTTGATTCACTTCAACAATCATGTATCTGATATAAAGAATGCAGTAACGCTTAACAGTCTGGGAGCATGTGTAATTCTGTGGGCAAGTTCATGACAGAAAGGTAAGGGAGGTGTCATTTGATTCATAAAATCTACAGAATCATAATTTCAGTGATTTCATCTGAACATTATTTATATTACTTCTTAAAACGGTTCCTATGCCAAACATGCAGTTTGTACAGTTTAACATAGAGCTGGACTAACTAGTGGGATGACTAAGTTTTAAGGGGATGCAGACATTGGCATCTGCATCCTTGGCTCATGCACATGTTCAATGGTGTCACCCTACAGCATAGCAGAGGGGATGTGCTGCCCTTCCCAGCTCCACACCACTGGTTGGTGGAAATTTTGATAATACAATGTGATACATTTGAAAGCCTTTTCTCCTACAGACACAAAGGTACCATACGGCAACCTAGAACAATTATGTAGAATATATGTAGATATATATTCAAGAAAAATCAACTTTTAAAATTATATTTTAACATAGAGATGCATTGACTGCATAAAAAAGGACATTAATCTTAGGAAACACAGGATGAAGATAGTAGCCTAAATTATAAGTTGAAAATTTCTACAGCAAGAAGATTTAACTTGACAACAGGAATTTAATGTCTTATTAAGTATCAACTCAGTTGCAAGCAATTTTCCTTCTGAACAAAAAAAATTAGTTCTCGTAAGGAAATATTCTGCTTTGAGATATTCCAGTTATTTTAACAGTATAAGTAGCTTGCTTTATTTTGTTTGATATTTGTTAATATTTTAGAACAGAGTTGGGTAACTAAATTTTCAATGCAATGGAATTAAAACTAAGAATGTTTTTTTACCTGTCAATGGTATCAGGGAGTTGCTGAAGTTTGTTGCTCCCCATGTCTAACCATTCTAGACTTGGCATGTTCAGGAGAGCTGAAGGGATGGTAGTAAATTGGTTCATACTCAGATCTACATGGTAAAGCTTCTTTAGGTCACTGAGCTAAATAGAAAAAGGAAGACTCATTAATAGGATTCCTTAATGCACATTTGTACAGACTGTGCAGTAAGTGATGTTCCATCACAGCTGTTATTTAACCATCTTGGCCACAAAGACAGAAAAATTCTGAAAATACTACAACATGTTCTGAAATCCATGCCAGACAAGTGATTCTGGGTTGTATGAGATAAGACAGAGGGCCAGAATCTCATTTACACTATTGCTCCAGTGATGTAAAGGGACTTCAGTATAAATAAGAATCTGGTCTAGAGTCTTAAAATTTATTTTTGTCAGAAAACATTCACTTGACCTCATAAAAGAGGGTGACCAGACAGCAAGTGTGAAAAATTGGGACAGGGAGTGGGGGATAATAGCCTATATAAGACAAACTCCCAAATATCGGGACATCTGATCACCCTATCATAAAATATTGCTAACTTTGCTAGTCAAACAACTGCCAGATAAATTTGGTAACTTCTGATATTCAGTTAATATTCTATATTTATTTATTTTAAAGCTGCCCAGTTTGTTGGGTTTTACAGACTTAATGTTTGGACTTAATTCTGCAGTGCACCAAGCACCCTAAGGGCTATTCTACACTGGCAGAGCTTTAATGTGCCTTGTGTGGTTGCGGTGGAGTGCTGGGAGAGAGCTCTAAAAAACCCACCTCAACGAGGGGCATGGCTCCCAGTGGTGCACTGTTTACACTGGCGCTTTACAGCGCTGAAACTTGCTGCACTCAGGGGTGTGTTTTTTCATACCCCTGAGTGAGAAAGTTGCAGCGCTGTTATCCTCACTCTCCTGTAAAGTCTGTGGGAATTGAGGTTACTTTTAATATCTGTCAGGGCTGTAATTTTTGTAGCAAATACAAATAAATAAATATCAGAAGTATTTGGTTACTTTGTAGCCAAGGGACTGATATGGAGATATGGATCCCTTTTCACATGTACGTCATCAGTTACGATTCAGCCCAGGTAAGTGGAGAGCAAAAGTTATTACACTCAGCTGCTCTGTGTCCTCTGTGAAGTGAGTTAATTCACATGCAGTTGTCTGCATCACACAAATCACTACCACAAGCAGTGGTCTTTGTAGAGATACCACTAGCTGAATGGGGAGGGAATGAACTAAGCCAGGGTGATCAAACTTACTGACCCTCCAAGCCGCATATGACAACCTTCAGAAGTTCGAGAGATGGGATGCGCCTGCCGGGGCTTAGGGCTTCAGCCGCATGGGAGATGCCTGGCAGGGCTCAGGGCTTCAGCCCCGCTTCTGCAGAAGCCCCAAGCGCTGGCAGGCATGCCCCATGAGGCAGAAGCCCCTAGCCCCAGCACCCTGCTTCAGGGCAGAAGCCCCAAGCTCACCCGCCACCCCAGTCTGGTAGGCAGAGAATGGGGGGAGGGTACGGGGGGTCCGCTAGCCACACTTTAACTGTAAAAGAGCCACAGTTTGGCCACCCTGAACTATGCTCTCACCCTTAAAGGTGACTTCTCTAAGGTCATAGTTGAGCCAGTGGGCCAGATCCTCAGCTGGTGTAAAACAGCATAGTTTAATTAAAATCAATGGCCTGATGCCAGTTTACACCAACTAAGCAGCTGGCCCATTATTTATATACTCCCCTGTAAGCCTGGGCAAAATTAGGCTCAGTTCCTGCAAATACTTAGTTACTCATGTGGTTAGTCCCACTGGCTCCCATGGAACTATTCATATAAACAAAGATTATGCATATTCTTAAATATTTGTAAAATCAATGTCTTAAAAATAAAGTGAAAACAACCCATCTATTAGACAGTCCATGCAAGACTTTCCAGTGGAAATGTACTATGTCATTTTAAAGTCTAGAAGAAAACAGAAGTTCAATTTTTTTTCTGAGAATTTTTTTAGCTAGTGAAAACATTTAATATATACCTATAAATAAAAGTAATTGTTTTTCTCAAACCTGAAGTGGAAGGTCACAGATATCCCTGTTCACAGCCAGTTCCAGTCTTCCGAGGCTGATGCAGTTACTTAGCTCTTTAGGAACAGACTTAATTTTATTATAACTGAGAAGCAGCTCTTGGAGGTTAGGCAGCTGGCCTGCAAAGGCAATAATCAAAGAGAATCCACCTGAATATTGGGTCTGAGGAATAAATTAAACCTTTCAGCTGTGAAGTACTGGGGTTAAATCTTACTTTATTGTGTTGGCTCATTAGTATAGTGTGAGTGCTCTTGGTCTGCTTATTGAAATAAAGATGCAGTTAATGAAAATTATGGGATTTGGTGTGACGGCTGCTTAATCCAGAAGCAGTGCTCCAACTGAGTAACACAGAATGGCTTGTTTTTGTTGTTGTATTTAAATACCACTTACCAATCTCTTTAGGTAGCTTTTCAATGGCATTTCGGGATAGATCCAGCACAATGAGATTTTGAAACCTTCCAATGAATTCAGGAATTTTCACCAAACTAATTCTGTGAAGCTGCCATTCCTGGAGATGGTTCAGTTTCAGTAAGCAAGCAGGTAACATCTAAAAATAATAAAAAATAAAATCAGAAGGAAATTCCACTTCGTTTATGGAATGAAAATGGACTAATTGTTAGTGTAGGAAGATTTTGGAAACATGAACATTTAGAGTTACGCTAGAAAGGAAGGAAACAGTTTTGTTTTTCTGATCACTAGACCATACAACATGCAGAAATTAATTCCCATTACACCTCAAGAATAACCAGCCCTTCTGTTTGCACCCAGAACTTAGGCACCTGCACTACTAGAACTGAGCAATGCAAGATCCCAGAAGCAAAACAAACAAAAATGTTTGAACTTAAATGATGTTTAGTGTCTGTCATGTGGATTTTATAACATCTGTTCAAAACAAAATGACAATGTTAGGTAACTGCACTGTAGAATGTATTTACAACATGTTTTATATTAAAAAAGGACCACCTATAACTTCCAAGATTGTGCAACATTTCTAAATAATTGCTTGCTATAAAATGATTATAGAATAGATTTAGTAATTTGGTTTGAAATTCATTGCTCTGAGTGAGTTACGCAGGGTTTGTGTGGGATGTAGGGACTGCAGTTTGTAGGGAATTAAATCTTCCGCAAACTCCTGTGTAAGACACATCACCTCCCTGGACTGGGGCAGGCACCATGACTGTTACAGTGTAAGCTGAAGTCACACCTTCACCAGCCTGTACCTGATCCAACTCCCATCAATGCCAATGGAAAGATTCCCAATGACTTAAAAGGAAAATTGGCTCAGGCATCTCGTCTTCAACTTCTTCTTCATGGTGGACACTGGAACTAGCATAAAGCCAGTTCTGCAACCTACAGAGATTGGTAGGGTCCACCCTGCCACATATTCTGCAGCTGCCCACCTTTCTTGCACTGGAACCACAGTGGTCCCACCGTTCTGAGAGCCTTTGTGCCATTGGATGAATTTCACCCTTAGAAAGAGAAGAGAAATAACCCCAAGAAATCTTTTCATTTCACGTGACTTTCGCATTACAAGTTATGTCTGTGTCGTTCTCAAGGCCGGCTCTACGCACCAGCGTTCCAAGCATGTGCTTGGGGCAGCACTTCTAAAGGGGCGGCATTCCGGCTCTTTGGGGCAGCACTTTTCAAGGGGCAGCACTCCGTTGGTTTTTTTGTTTTTTTTGTTTGCTTGGGGCGGCAAAAAACCTGGAGCTAGTCCTGGTAGTTCTGGGGCATTAGCAAAATTAATACTTCTTTAATTAATCATAAGACATAAAATGCCATTAAGTTTTCCTGTTCATGTGGGAAGACTTTCTGGGCTGTTGCTGGTCAGTCGTGAAATTGCTTAGCATTCAATATTCTACTGTTAGAGTGAGCAAGTTTAATTTCAATACAATCAGGTTTTATTTATATTCACAGCAATAATTCAACGGTCCGTCCCTGATCATCTGTGTACAGAGCTGAGCATATTGTGGGCACTGAATAGATGAAAAGTAATACAAGTAGCTGGGCTAAAGATGTAAAATAGCTTAACTCTGTCATTCACTAACCATGCAACCCAAACAATTTCCTGTTAATTACCTTCCATTCTTCTTGTTCTATCCTTAGTATAACCCTTCCATCTTCAGTGATGACTTTTTCTTTGAGCCTGGCTAAACTGTCTCTTTCCTCCCAGACAAGCACCAGTCTACAAAACAAAGACCTTTTTTTAGTTGTGCAGCTATTAATATGAGCAACATTTACTATCCCATTTTGATTGCCTGACATAGCAAAGAGGCAACTTTTTGGCGAGAAGCCTTCATGGAGGTCAGACAAGTATTTATCTTAATGGGATGCTAGATACGCTTTGGGAGGGCTGGCAATGTAGAAGTTCATTAGCTTAGAGAATTTACAGGCATTCTAATGTTTTGGCTAATGTACAAATCTTTTGCGATTCGGTGAGATCATATTTTAAAATCTGTATGAAGTAAATTATTTTATAGAGATAAATTAACTACTTCCATCAAGTTTTATAATGTTTTACCAAGAACAACAGGGGGAAAAATAATGTAAGGGGACTGTCCCAAACACCATTCATTTTAAGGGAAGCTTGTAGCTTTTTTATGGGTGGGAGAAGCACTAAGCTTCTTTAATCTTTTCACTTCCACAGCCTCTAGCTCAGGAGTTCTCAAACTGGGGGTTGGGACCCCTCAGGGGGTCATGAGGTTATTACCTGGGGGGTCGTGAGCTGTCAGTCTCCACCCCAAACCCCGCTTTGCCTCCAGCATTTATAATGGTGTTAAATATATAAAAAAGTGTTTTAAATTTATTATGGGAGTTGCATTCAGAGGCTTGCTATGTGAAAGGGGTCACCAGTACAAAAGTTTGAGAACCACTGCTCTAGCTGCTATACCATAGATTATCCATCCAGAGACAGCAATCTGGTCACAGACAAAAGAGAGTTGACTTCTTTGCATCCATGTATGAAGTCAGCTTGAATTCAAGTAAAGTTCATGCAAGTCATCATAGACTAATCAGTGAAGATAAGAGATCAAAATAATATTAAGTAGAGACTGTTTCTAAATGGAGGGCACTTGTCAACAACTTGTGCTATAAAAACATGAAGAATTTCTTTTACACTATTGTAGTGCTATGAAGACAGTGGTAGCTGTTGTAGTTTGATATATATGCCAGTAGAATCAGCAGCTGCACTAATTTCTATTTACAGTTGAACATAATTCTCTGGTAGACCTGAGTCTAAAATCAGATTTCTTTCAGTGGGAATTTTACCTGAGCAAAGATTGCAGGATTGGATCTTGCATGTTCCAGAAAACACCAACCATATCGCCTGTGTTTAGCTTCACATTTCTTCCTAACTGATTAGGGACATACCTGCCTACAGCCCTCTGTCTGAATTCCTTTTCCTTCCGTAGTTCTTCATTTATTTTCTGAATTCTCACTTCCCAAAGTGTCTTAACAGCAGAGAATGATCCAATGCATGGTGCAGTTTCAGTCATGGTTCTTACACATTCCGGTTCAGCCATAGGTATCTGCTTCTGAATAGCACACTGATTACCATCATCATTATAATCCCACATAGGAGTTGGACATGCCAGAAGGAGACATCAATGTAAAAAAATTGATATGCCTGTTTGATTAATTAAACACAATCAATCTGAGCAGCGCTGTGATGGAACTCACATCAACTGACTCCTGTCACATATATAGAATAGTTAATCATGTGTTCCTAGTTACCTCATCACATAATACAAGAATAAGGAGATAAGAACATAAGAACATAAGAACAGCCATATTGGGTCAGACCAAAGGTCCATCTAGCCCAGTATCCTGTCTTCTGACAGTGGCCAATGCCAGGTGCCCCAGAGGGAATGAACAGAACAGGTAATCATTACGTGCTCCATCCCTTGTTGCCCATTCCCAGCTTCTGGCAAACAGAGGCTAGGGACACCATCCCTGCCCATCCTGGCTAATAGCCATTGATGGATCAATCTTCCATGAACTTATCTAGTTCTTTTTTGAACCCTGTTATACTCTTGGCCTTCACAACATCCTCTGGCAAGGAGTTCCACAGGTTGACTGTGCGTTGTATGGAAAAATAATTCCTTTTGTTTGTTTTAAACCTGCTGCCTATTAATGTCATTTGGTGATCCCTAGTTCTTGTGTTATGAGAAGGCATAAATAATACTTCCTTATTTAGTTTCTCCACACCAATCATGATTTTACAGACCTCTATCATATCTCCCCGTAGTCATCGTTTTTTTTCCAAGTTGAAAAGTCCCAGTCTTATTAATCTCTCCTCATACGGAAGCTGTTCCATACCCCTAATCATTTTTGTTGCCATTTTCTGACCTTTTTCCAATTCCAATATTCAATTAAGTTAAAAAGTAACAAAGGTAAAAACAGCTAGAAGATCATACATTCTACTCAGCATAGAATTAGCCTGTGGAATTCGCTGCCATGAGCTATCATTGAGTCCAAGAGCTTGGTAGGATTCAAAAAAGGTCAGAGTCTAATACAGATTGTGAGAACATCCACAGTGACATAAACCAAGATAAAAAGTATAAGGGTTAACCTTTATGCGTCAGGGGATCAGTCAACCATTAATTGCCAGGGGTTGGGAAGAAAGCTGCCCTATAGGCCGGCTACTAATAATAGCCTGTTCGAAACTTCTTGAACATTCTGGTACTAGTGCCCGGCAGGCAGGACACCTGGTCATTCCTGTGCTCCTGTCTGGAAGGGTTCCTCTCAGCCACTCTTGTATTGGGTTTTTGTATTCTAGCAATAGGCTAGAACTGTGAAGGTCAGATCTGGCGCTGAACTCTCCCAAAGTTTGGGGCAGGGTTAGACTGGGGTTCAGGGTTGGCCTATAGATTTGCAGGGCTATGTAGTAATGCTAAGATCACATTAAACATTGCATCAATTTTTTTATTATAAATGCCTACTACTTGGTGGAAGAGAAACAGGGAATACTGTCTCAAACACCCAGCTCCAATCTGAAAAGCCTGAGAATGTTTTTTCAGCCAGACAGACAGCTTGCTCTCCAACAATGAAAGTGGAATGTCAACCTTTTCCCTATAATCATCTTTCTACCAATGGCCAGTATAGAGTCACTTGTTTGAAGGCATCTTTCCCAGCATGCTTTTCTTTTAACTGGCCTTTTAAATGTGGCAGAGCCAAACCAGCTGCTGCACTACGATGGCTATTTGGTACCTACTTGCTAGATATTTCTGCATCCAAGCTAAGTATTCCTACTATGTTTTCCCTTTCTCTTATTATTGCAGTGGTGTATCCAATAGCCAGATTGTATATGGGGACTTACATCAAAGAAATATAGAAGAATACAAAAAGGTAGAAAAAGTATAAAGCAATGAACACTGAAAATGGCTCCTCATTGGAAAGACAGTATAGACTAGAGAATGGAATTCCTCTGGAGCTACACTGATGTAAAAAAGGAGAATTTGGCCCAACTATTTTTGCACTGCTAATTCTTAACTGTGCTATAAGAATAGAAGCTGTTGAGGGGAAGATGGAGGTTTTGACAGCTGGGGCTGTTGGTGCCCAGGAAGGTGTGAGAGGTAGTTTAGTTTTGGAGCTCCCAAAAAGTGGTTAAGGCTTTTTTGCAATGGCGAATGGATGCATCTTCCTCTTCTCCCTCCCAGCCCCATGTGGGTATGAACACAAACGTCTTGATGTATATTCAGGGATTAATTCCCCACCCCCGTAGCCCTTACCAGTAACCAGCTACGCACTGCTCCTCATCCCAATATCTGCCTTTGCACCCAACATGACTAAACACATTAGCTAAAGGTTTCTGTTAAATGATTCATAACTGAATTTAAATTGTTATTAGTAGGCTTCAGAGTTAACTCTCATTGAGACAGCTCAGTCAGTTCCTGCTTCCCATAGCTATTATTTTAGGCTGTTTGGAGACTGGGAAAACAACATTCCAGCAGTTGACATTCAGTTCAAATTCCTGTATTATAAGCTTGTGTCATGTCAGGAACTGTATTTGCTATGCGTCTATGATACCTAACATAATGGGATCCTCAACCCCTAACTGGGGCTTCTAATGCTACTTGTAATCATAAAAATTTGAAGGTTTTTTTGGCCATCTATTTTAAAATTAAAACTTAGTTTTTGGACCACTGTTCTGTGGCAGACGGTGAATTCTTCAGTAAATTGCACAGCTACAGAAATCAGAACACGAGGCCCTAAGTATAGAGTTTTGTTTTTAAACAGATGTAACTATGTAATGAGAAAACTATGAAAAGCTGAAAGTAGAACATTTTGACCCCACCCTTTATACTTCTTTCTGGTAGACACGATAATACAATAGCGATCATGAACTGCCAGCCATTCAGAAGTGCATTCCCAATTTTAGCTGTAAAATAACTGCAAATGTATTGTCTTGTAACTAGAGCTCCTGCCCGTGATCACCTCCCCACGTTCACTTCCAGACATATGGAAGCATTTTAGAACTTACCTAAATCATTTGATGTATTCACAGATTTTCCACGACTCATTGATTTCTGTGCAAGAGCAGAGCGAGGTTATGAATCTTGTCTGTGTTACTAATGTCTGTCTCTGATACAGACTCCAATTAAGTGAAATGTAATGCCAGCCCAGTTCTAATTTTAATCCATGACATTGCTGGGATATCACATGGGACTACTTTGCAAAGCCACAGAGCATTTACCACTGAATGTCTTGCCATTTTTTGGAACACAATAACCTGTGTAAACTGTTTATGGAATAAACACAGATCAATACTTGTGATCAAAAAGAGCCAGTTAATATATTTGCTATGCCAAATAACACAAGCTAGATTAGAGTTTAGAATGACAATTGTTTGCTTTACACTGGCAATCTTTTGCTGCAAATAACAGTTTCAGAAAAATATTAAACATTTGGCTACTGTGAAAAGAATTATAAAGCAAAATTAAACCCTAAAATGCACTGTATTTGGAAGAGAAAAGAGTTGCTTTGTATTGTTCTGCTCAGTTACACTTGTAGTAAATTTAAACATTTGTGAAATTCCCAGACACTCTGCTATGCAGTTCTTTCTCTTCACAATAAAATCCAGGGTACCTGCTGAACAGTTATAGTACTGAACCAAGTAGTTCACACAGTGCTTCTGGCTGCAGAAGGAAGAATTTGAGATGTTTTGTTTTTGCTGGTGTTTCCCCCCCTCCCAGAATCTTAATGTAAATAACTTTTATAAAGGGCCATATTGTCCTCCATGCAGGAAAAATCTGCACAGGAAACTAAGTTTTATCTGGCAGGTATGATCCATCATGGGAGCTTGGATTAGAACAGGCAGAGTTTGGTCCTCTAAAATGACGACTTTGTTGAAATTGGTGTGAATCACAGGACACTCAGCTCTCTGATAACCATCTGCTTTTCCCAAGGCAGTATAGTTTTCTCAGGAGAGTTTTGCTATTCTCTGGGACCACGGGTCTCATTCTCTGGGAATAGGGATGTCATTAAGAGAAAACCAGTGTACAACCAGTATGACAAGATCATCACTATATTAGGCTTCACAACCCCAGTGGAAATAAAGAGATGTGATGCTGTGGTGAGTGGTCTCCCGCTCCACTCCCTTTTCAGTCAGAAATCCCAACAGTTCAGAGCACCTGCACAGAGGTTTCCACAGGATCAGGAGAAAGGGGAACTTGCATAGGAGATGCTGCTGTCCCTCCCCTTCTACCCTCCCACCCAAGCAGTACTTGATTGGGCTCCTCTCTGCATGATAATTCCATCTGATAAATATTAAAGGTGAACTTTTAGGTAAGTGGGGTTTGTCTCTCTACCCCAAAAAAGAAGCAGGCCACAACCTCATGGATCCTCCAAGATTTGAGCACATCTCAGATATGGCTTCTGGAGAGCTCTATCTCAAGATTCTGTGCCTCTGCGCTGGCTCAGGACCCGCCCTCCTTGAGCTCCCTGAAAGCACAGTCCCAACCACAGGCATCCCTGGGACCTCCTGTGAAGTCTAACCGCTGCACTGATTCCCAATGGGTTTAAGGGAATTGTGCACCCAGTCCCCAGCTCTGCTCATCTTGCCCACAGCACATTGGATCCCAAGAGAGACAGGACAGAAGAACAGGACAGAAATCACAGCTCACTGCTTGAAAGAGAATCAGTAAAACTATGTCCTCAATGACATTGCCCAAGAGTGCCGCTTGTGAAGACAGTTTTTGTAATGTGGATTCATAATCACTATGTCAAATCCTCATCAAATGGCAATGCTTTCCTGTCACTACCAACCTGGGCCAGATTAGAACTGGTTCCATGTGAAGGTAAAAGGCTCCATAATCCACCACTAACCCCCTGATCCCTGTTAGTTCCCCCCACATCCATTTATAGATACCAACTGTACTCACTTTTCAATCCTCTAAGATTTTTTTCTGATCTAGTTATTGAAAACTTCTCTTAAATACCCAATTTCCTTCCTGATTTAATTAACTACTCAGATAAGTAGAGATGATTGCAGAAGATAGACTGCCCATTTTGTTAAGGATTTGACAGACAAAAATAGAAATCTGGCTCCCTTTGCTGGCAGAGTAGTTTAATCTATCTAAGGTATTTCTAAGGCACCTATCATGTTGTATCATTCCTTCAGCCCTTCAATTTGGTTCTCATCCATAGTCATAAGGTTTTCACATGCATCATTTGGATTGCAGCCCTTACAGCAACACAAATGATAGGTGAGTAGCCTTTAGTCCATGTCCTTTTGCTAAGTCTCACGAGAGGTAGACTCCAAGCACCCCTTCTTTGTGATCTCGAATAGGAAGAAGATTTATTCTCCTGTTCAGGATTGTCTGCGTGAAATTCCCAAATAAAAAGATCCAAAGCACAAAGCCTGTCATAAGTTTTATTAATAGAAAAATCAGATTAAAACGAATCTTGTCTTACACTGCAAAAGCTAATACAGATAGAAACCATTGTGCATAGGAACATGAGTAGCAGCTTATATTTCTGGTGTATATCCTCTCCCCACAGCTTGAGAGTTTCTTCCTTGCCCCCTTAAGCAGTTAGCACATCAGGTCTTGCATCTTCCTCCCTTCCTTCTCATGGTCCCTGAGTTACACCTTTCAGGTTACTTATATCTACTCACCACAGGGTCTTATCCACAAAGGTATTCAGCCAGATGTACCCTCCAGAGAGGAGATTAGTCTCTTATGAAATGTCCTTTTTGACTTCCCCAAATTGTTTGGTTACATTACAGTGATCCTGTATTGTTTTTGCAACTCAGCGTTCTCTGGAAAGTGTATGCGCACAATGGTTTTTCTTTGCATCTTATTTGCAAACCAGCATTCACACTGTCCATTGTTTTAGCCTAAAACAACATATATGTTATTTGTCCTGGGGGTGCTAACCTGAATCCTATTGACTGTCTGCCTTGCATATGAGTTTAGAGAGGATTTATCTAATTCTTATGCGCTGTTTACACAGATTTTATTTCATATCAAATATTGATCTGTTACACCTTGGTATCTGAACAAACAATAGCTGTCATGTGCAAGGTGACGACAGTCTTTTAGAGCACAGTAGCTGTTTGCTAGGTTATGGTAATTATAAACAATGGTGGTAAGCAATTATTTGTTTAGTGATGGAAAACCTAGTCATGGCATCCTTTTGCAGGATGTTGCTTCCCAGAAGAAAAGTCTTAGAGTATGTAAACAATCCTACATACTTTCAGCCTACCAGAGTGTGTTGCAAGACAGTTCTACAGAGTTATTACAAAGAGTTGTTGGATACAAGTAAATATTCTGAAACTGTGCAGGAAGTAAATTTTGGGGGATATTGTCATCTTCCATTGTCACCTGATACTGAGTACCTGTGCCAAGAACTTTCTATGTATAAGAGGACTAGAGGAAACATTAGCACCATTAAACAATAAAAAGTCCACTGGACATCTTTAAAGATAATCATAAAGACATTTTATTTGTACATTATTTCTGCATAATTTCTTTCAGGAACTTGGAAATATTCCATTAGATTTATTAAAATAAATTCCTGTTTTCAACCAGGAATAATTGCGACGTAACTTCCCTTCTATCCAGAATAAGCAGTTTAAAAGTACTGCAGACATGTAGATATCTGTCTTTCAGTAATGTCAGCTTAGTGGCAGTCAGCACATATTATCACAGTCAGGCACTAAATACTTCCCCCCATCACATTTAGAAGTCACACTATGACCTATTAAGTATGACAGCCTCCCATAGAATAAACTACAGAACTACTCATTTTAATTGAAAAGAATGGAACAGGTTATCAATAGACTGACATAGGCTCTTGAGACCTTTCAACCACATAATATTATTATATAATAAGAAAACGGACATATGCTAGCATAGCTAGCTTTTATAATTATCGAGTTTATTCCCCTGAAGTTTAAGGATGTGTTCTGGCATTAGTGTTCTTTATTTAAGATCTAGCAGCATGAAAGCAGGGTTCTCCAAATAGGATTTCCACAAGTTAGAAAAACGGGCCATTGTAGCTCCATCAATAATTCTATGATCAGCTGACCAGCTCACATTCATTATCTGTGCTTTAAATACTTCCCCATTACCATTAAATCGGGGAAGAACCTAGAAAGAAGAGAAGGGAAGAAAATAGGAACCTGATGAAAGAAACTATACAAACATGATTCTTGTCTTAACAATTGCTAGAGCAAATATAGAGTAGTATTTCAATTAAGAGAATACAGATTTCCCCCCAATTGTTTATGTAGTGGGTCTCAAACAGAATTACCACCTACCACTCCTAAGCAACCCTGTTGAGTTTATCTTAATTCCTCCCTGACTCCAAATTATCCTGCTAGACCAAAGGTCCCAAAACTGTGGGGCGCGCTCCCTACACGGGCATGAAGGAACATTTGGGGGGCATGGCTGGGCCTGGACCAGCCCCCATGTGGGGCAGGGAGGGAACACCACCCAGCATCACTCCCCGCTCTGCTCTGGCCCTGCCCCCAGCCTTGGCTCCTGGCCATGGCACCCAGCCCTGGTCTTGGCCCCAGATCTGCCCTGAGCTGCAGCCTGAGCCTTGGCCCCCTTACCCTCATCCGCGTCCCCTTCAGCCCCTCAGGGGAGCTGCGGTCCCACTCCTGGCCCCAGGGGGCGCGGACAGGGATAAGGGAGGTATAACTCTGAAAAGTTTGGGGACCACTGTGCTAGAGAAGTTGATTGAACCTTTGGTGCTGAGGTGACACATGCCTCCCAAACCTTCCCTAAAAGCTCAAAAAGGCATAGGGGAAATATATGAAAAGTATTATCCACTAAGAAATGTAGCGGGAGGGTCTGTTTTGGTTTTTTGCTTGTCTACACTACCAAATGTATTTATCTGACTGTACAAAGTTCTTAGATAGATTTAAATCTCTGGATCACGTAACAAAACTTAAATATCAGAAGCAATTTGTTTCAAGTGTTCTCCTGGTTTGAAACCCTGCAAGTATTCTTTCTGAACAAAGATGGTATTATAAAAACCCTACAAATATCAGAATATAATCTAATTTTTTTCTTTTATACCTAGAAGCCAACAAGTTAAATAAAAACATCATGAGGTG